TAGCAAATCGCACCCTTAGCAAAACCATTAGAACAGCGACCTTCCGTAGTATAGAACAGCGACCTTCCGCACTAGTATATTGCGTACCCTATAGCGACCTCCGCAAACCTCCGCAAACCTCCGTAGACCTTAGCAAATCGCACCCTTAGTAAAACTATTAGAACAGCGACCTTCCGCAGTATAGAATAGCGACCTTCCGCAGTAAAAGAACTTAAGAACAATCAAGCAGAAAGCCTCTCGTAAAAGGACAAAGACAAAGACAGTCTACTCGATCTATAAAATATAGTGCCGACTAAGGCTAAAAAAAAGCAATAGACTACTAGACGGACCGGAAGCAAAAAACTATAGACGGGCAATATCCGGAGTCACTCTTGCGGACACGATATAGACCTCGAGTATACGACCCTTTAAGATACGTTACGAATCAACTAAGTAAACATGCCTACTAGACTTCGACCTTATATACTTCCGAAGAAGTGCCGCTATAGAAAACTAGGCGGACTGATTTCTTTAGGGTTAGATAATAGGCAGTCACCTCTACTAGTTTATTAGGCTGCTAGCTGCCTTAGAAAATACTATTAAATGGCCTAAATCCCTTAGGTTCCCTACGTAACTTAATAACTAGGCGCAAAGGATTACTGCAACTCCTTACCTAGTTGCAGCTAGGCGTCGCTTCGTTTTAGTCGATTATTATTAGTTAAAGGTCGTGAATTGTAGTGCTATTATATACCCCCATTACTGCTGCCTAGAATGACTTAGACAGGTATAGCTCAGTTAGAAGGGGAAGGCAGGCATAAGTGAAGTTTAAACAGTATACTAGTTGAGTGTTCAATCCCCTATCTAGAAGCTATAATATTAACATTAAGTTAGTGTCGATAGTATACACTAAACTAGTACCTAAACTAGCACCCAAATTCGCCCCCTCCTACGCCGACCGAGTTAAGTCGATTAAGCGTATTTATAGCAAAACTACGCTAGCAAAAGTGATTAACACGATAACGACGGCGGCCTTAGGCTCTAATAATTCTATGTCTATATACCTTTTGCTCGCCTATATACCTTTCCTTACCTATACTCCTCTTCCCTTCCTATCGTAGCCTCCGCGTATAATCTCTATATACGATATCGATAGCACCTAGCTCGCTTAAACTAGGACCTGCGCGTGCCTAGCGAGTAAGGAGGGTACTAAAGTGGAGGGCAAGTTGATATCGAGCCTTAGCGAGTGTTTAACTTGTCCGGAATAGTAGCGTCGGACGAACAAGGGTACTAAAGTAGAGGGCAAGTTGATACCGAGCCTTAGCGAGTGTTTAACTTGTCCGGAACGGCAGCGTCGGACGAATAAGGGTACTAAAGTAGAGGGCAAGTTAATACCGAGCCTTAGCGAGTATTTAACTTGTCCGGAATGTAACGTTAGCAAAAGCCTATAGATCTAAATAACGCTTGCAACGAACAGATACAATTATTATCCTTTAGTGCTATATATAAACGCGTAGATGCCGGTAACCGACGGGACCTTGTATATAAAAGTAGGCTTATTCACTTTCAACCTACGGTAGGCTCCGTTCTTACGTTACGTCGCTACTTCCTCTTATAAGCCCCCTGCCGCTTCCGCCTCTTCCTCTTCTGCTTCTATACCTACGTCGCTTCCGCTTCTTTACCTACGTCGCTTCTCCTTCTTTTTACGTCGCTTCTGCTACCCTTTAAATTAGAAGACACTACCTACTTCTAACACGCTACGCGCACATCTGTAGCAATAGCGCTAGGAGACAACAATACCCCTACATCGCACTAGCCTTAGGCGAACCTATCGTCGAGCTAAGTATGCCTTCTAACTAATATACCGCCGCTGCCGCCGCCGCTACCGCTAGAGCCTTCGTAGCAGCCTCTATAGCCTTTTCCGCCCGATCGTAAATAGCCGCCGACTTAGCGTTATAACTACTACTTTCTTAATAAGGACACTATCTAGTATATAGGTGTTAAGAAGAAGAATAGACCGCCTATTAACCGTTGCGCCGTATATCGAGGCTATACTATACAAGTCAATCGATTTAGCAATTAGGACATTACTAAGGTTACGAAGCGTATAGCAAGCACCGCGGGTTTGCCTAACCCGCTACTTTCGCGAGTGCCGCGTACTATCCTTCCTACCCCTAGACCTTCTGCCCTTTCTATAACTATATACTCTAACATTAGCGTCCGACTATACTATCCTTTAAGCTAACTATCTCCCGCTACCTATACTCTATAGCAAGCTTAGATAGTAGCTGCTCGCTAAGCTAGATACGATACTCGGCAGAGTCCTCTAAGTCTACTACCGCTAACTCCTTATACTCCTACTATATTGTCGACCCCTTAGTAGTAGAGTTAAGCCTAGCAATAGGATAGTAAGTTATAGTTTTAGTGCGTTGATTGTAGCTATCCGCGACCCTAGTAAGATTAAGGAGGCGAGATTAAGGATTAATATATATACTGCGATATAATGCAACTCGATAATAACCTAGAAACTAAGAACAAGTAGTGTATCTTTAAGAACTACAATAGCAATCGTTAAAGCTTTATACGACCTAACGCTCCGGAATTAACTGAATGCTGCTATGCTTACTAGCCGCGGTTCAATATATCTTCTAGCATTTAAGGTACTTCTAGCGGTACTACTACCGATCGCACCGGACCTCCCTCTAGTTAGTCCTTTCTATTAACTCTAGGGCAATAAGAAAGCTCTTATTATTAGCTATCTAAAGCCCCTCTATCTACTCTAATAAGTAGCTCCTCTTAACTAGGTGCTTAGTCGTAGTAGGTATCTTAGCAAGCATCTTAGTAGGCATCTTAGTAGGCATCTTAGCCGCTACCTCGACCTGCCCGCTCGCGCCTACTACGTAAGCGTAGGGAGCGGCGTAATCGCTTTCTCGCCTACTAGGACCCTCTATTAGTACCCGTATATTAATAGCAAACTATACCTGCAATCGATGTCTTTAACGAGGGTCTATTAGCTAACTTCTATAATACGATCGATAAAGATGCCCTCGAGAGCTACAATCGATATTACGAGCGCTAGTTTAGTATAAACTTAGCAAAGAACAACGGCATTTGCAGTCGCTATATTAATCGTAATTATCCGAGTAAGATGCAGGCAGGCGACCTATTTCTGTTTAGTAATAGCAATAATATAGATCCTAGACCTATACCCGAGGAGCTTCTTAGTCTTTCTACGGCTAAGGAGCTTCTTATCGCGCGAGTATATATACAGATGTTAGTGTTCTGCGTACGAGGACAGTAGTAGAAGTATCGTAGCTATATCTGCAACTTTCTTAAGAACGTCGTTACGGTCTACTATAAGCTGCCTCGCATTCTATAGGAGCTTGATTTAGTAGTACTACGACCGCGCTAGAAGCTCTAGCTAGAGTTAGAGCCTTTAGGTTAGGGCGCCGAAGCAGAAGATAGTGCTATAGAGGCTTATAATCGATAGCGGAAGCGCCTTCAATTCCGAGAAAACTTCCGCGTACGTCGTAGTCGTGTTTTAAGTGCCCTTCGCTAGCTTAAGGATTATAACTAGTACTATCGCAGCATCCTAATCGATAATAAGGCTCTTAGTTAGCTCCTAGAAGACAACACTATCGAGGACCTGCTTAAATCTGCTAAATATAACGAGTATTATCTAGTCGCTCGAGACTATCTACCTTAAGATCCGCCTATCGATAACCTTTCTAGTCTACCGATACGAGGCATTTATATCGCAAGCGGTCCTCCCTTAGCACCGTAGTTCTCGTGCTCTAGTTATAGCTTTCCTCGTAGTATATAGTAGCGTTCTTACTACGACGCCAACCTTCCCCTATACTAGCGTATCTAGCACGAATGCATATAGTGCGTTTATAGCATTGTCGACTCGAAGTATAAGGCTAAGCTAAAGTAGTATATTGCTAGAAATTATAAGACTACTCGTAATCAGTTCTTATATACTACACTTAGTATTCTCGTCCCTATTAATTAGTACAATCCTAGTCTTTCGAATAAAGCAGAATGCATTCAGCATATCTAGATGCCTATATAGCTAATCTAGCGTACCGTAGCGATCGCACCTCCGCTAACTCCCTTACCTCCCGCCCCTCTATTCCTTCCTAGCTTTGATATCGGTCTAACTTAGGGTACTAGTCAACCTAACCTAGATAAAGACCTTAGTTACGACTACGCCGCGGTTCCGAATCTTTATCTATAGTACCGTACACTTAATTAGTTACGAGATCGGCTTCGTCGTCGCCGTACTAGAGGGACTATTATAGGGCTATTAGATAATCCTATTGTCCCTTAGTAGCCTCCGCAGTTATCGCATATTACTTAGCTAGATTATAACAAGATCCCTATTAACGAACTTAACCGTTCCTATCCCCTAATAGCTATAGCTTTCCCTGCCCTATTGCCTTAGGGGAAGGGTGACCCTAATTAGCTACGCCCTCGTACTGTCTCTTTTTAGTAGGCTATCGAATACTATATACGATACGAGGATAGTCGATTTGCTAGTTACGAGCGTTAGCCTTACTTCGTCTTTAATAAAGGCATAAGACATTACGTTCTAAAGGCCGCAGCGTTCTTTACAAATAAGTACTAGAAGGATAGGATAGAAGTTAGTACGGAGACTATCGAGGCGGCCTTAGCTACTAACCCGAAAGCAGACAAGGAGGCCGGGCGATTGCTAAATTTAATCGTCCGCGTTAGTAGCTAAATCCGTAGTACGCGACTATACTAGAATAGCCGACGCGTTAATCTCGAGACCTACGTTCGCGCGCTTAGTAAGCCTAACCTTTTCTATACGGTTAGCGCTACTGATCTATAGTAGGACTCTCTTGCTAGACTTATACCTAGATACGAGCGGTAGAAGCGACTAGGACCTTACGAGCGTGTAAAAATAGTACGAGAAAGCCTCCGTAAATTCCTATATATCGCTAACGCCTACGTTGTACGCCGGTTCTAGCATCTTCTAGAAAAGGTCCTTAAGCCAAAGTTCAATGTCGTCGATTATTAGTATCGCTTCGAATAGTAGAATCGTAGTAGTTGCTACGTTTACTTCTTCCTATAGTGCGACCTTCTAAAGCCCGGTGTTAATACGCTTAAGGCACGACAAGAGTTTGCTCGGTAATAGGGAATCTATATTACTGCATTGAACCTAGAGCTAGGTAGGGACCTTAGACAGGGTGCTACGATCTAGGCCGATACTAAAGAGCTTAGAAACAACTAGGAGGACCTTGTAGACATTATCAATCGGGTATAGCGGTATGTCTATAATAATTACTATTAGGCTAAGCGTAAGGACGATCCTAATAGTAAGCCCTACTGTCGTTTCCACTTTCTACGGAAGCATCGAGAGGAGGCAGACGTTAATTACGAGCATAATAACCGGTATCTTAGCTTTACTACTACTTGTAACGATTCATTCCTTAACTACTTTAATCGGCTTATGTCTATATCCTAGCGAGCGAATTGCGACATTATACCTTACACTACACTATACGCTGTTATGCAGTATATCCTTAAGTACTGTAGCAAAACCGAGATTAAGAGCCGCTCCTACGACGATATTATAAAGGGCTTACTGCCTTTAATTAACTATAATAAGCCGCTCCTATCTATAGTCGCTAAGTTGCTTAATATCCTAATTACGGAGCGGGATTAGCTAGTATAAGAGGTTGCTCATTTGAACCTCTATATACTACTCTAGAAGGGTAGTCGTACCGTAGTTACCCTCGATTGCCGACCTTAGACTAAGCAAACAGTACTAGTAAATCTACCGCCGGATAAGGAGACTAAACCCGCAGACCCTAACGCCAATCCCGATACGAATCCTAATACCGACTTGGATGCTAGTGCTAGTGCTAATAGTAATAGTAATAGTTAGGATAAAGGTTAGCCGCGCCGTGTACTAGGCAAGACTATAATGCAGAAATACCTTACTCGCCTAGAAGCTGCTAAGGATGTGTCTCTTTTCTAGTACTTAACTCGGTAGAATCTATAGGCTAGCCGAACTCTACGCTAGTTAAGAAACCCTAAGAGAGATGCCCGCCTTATTAACTATTTCCCTCGCTATCCGTTAACCCCTAATAAGCCTAAGTATACCGAGTATTAGCGGATAAAGATTTAGGTATACTACCTATTCCGTGAGTTGCTAGTTTGCTCTAATAACAACCTATACTACTTTCCTAGTAAGCCTAATATCGCATTCTATATATAGGATGCAGCATTATAGCATTGCCGCGAGAGACATTCTTATCCGGACGACTATTTATAGGACATCGATCGTAGGAACGATAATAACTTTGTCGATCCCTAACTATAGGATATTAGTAAGCCTGCTAATTTCGACGCCCTCTACGGTCTATCGCTAAATCCCGGTATTCGAGATAAGGACCCGAACAACCTTAGAGACCGAGATATTAATAGAGCCGCCTATTAAGAGACTCGTATTAGGAAGTACATTAGGGAATACCCTAACATCTACGATACAAAGGAAGACTAGTAGCAGAAGCAGAAGGTCGCCTATAGGGCTATAGACTTAGATGTATAGTCCTAGTCTACGGCCTAATTCGATAAGCTTAATCGCTACTAACGATAAGGGTTCGACGAGGTTGTTAATTATTTCTAAGACGTCCTCGCTAGTAGTAATCCGCCTTAGCTTCTACTAAATGTCGACGGTGTAGGCGGCACTAGCAAATCCTTCCTAATCGAGATGATATACGCACGCCTTTAGAGTTAGGCGAAGATCGGTAACTACTCCGGCAATCCTGTTATACGGCTTGCACCTACTAGTACCGCCGCTACTAATATCGATAGGTTAACACTTTATTTAGCCTTTAAGCTTCCCGTTCGACCGGGCAAAGCTAGTATACAAGACTTAATAGGCGCGCGACTGACTCGTATAGAGAATTCCCTTCGCTATGTCCGCTACATTATTATCGACGAGAAATCTATAGTTAGCTAGCCTCTTCTACAGATGCTTGACTAGCGCCTTCGTTAATGTCTAGACTAACAGCTGCTATATAGCGGGATAAATATAATTATCTTTAGGGACTTTTATTAGTTAACGCCTGTTTTCTAGAAGCTACTCCTTTATACGATGCTAAAGACAGCTAAGGATATCGCTAGTTAAGCTGCGTACTATGCTTTTAATAAGTCCTTAGTGCTTTAAGCTAATATGCGCTAGGAAGGCGACGATCTAGACTAGATTGCCTTTCGAGAAGCGCTCTCTAACCTCCGTATAGGCACGGCGGATATGCTACACTAGTAGACACTTATACGTCGTGCTAACATTACCGATCCCGCCGACCTACGCAAATTCGCAGATGCTACTCGTATCTATTTTACTAACGATAATGTCAACGACCTCAATTATTAGAAGCTACGTAATATTAGCAATGCTGTTCTCCTAGTAAAGGCCTCTTATAATCGACTAGACACCGCTACAGTTAGCTCTAAGAACGTTCACAATCTTGACCCGGTTCTTAAGATATCTATTGGCTGTAAGGTTATGCTTCTTACTAACCTTTAGACAGAGTTTAGTATAGTTAACGGCAGACAGGGCATTCTTTACGATATTATCTAGTCTAAAGATGCTCGGGACAAGGATCTTCGAGAAGTACCCCCTCTCTATCTATTAGTTGCCTTTAAGGGCCTTAAAGACGATGCTCCGGCCCTCTTCGATATTAGCCCTCGAAAAATCGTCCCTATCTTCCGCATTCGGCGAAGCGTAGATAGATAGGATAATAACTAGCGTGAATAGTTTCCTTTAACTGTTTCGTACGCTCTTACGGTACACAAGGCATAGGGTATAACCTTAGAGAAGGCTGTTATTAAACTTAGCCCTAAGGACTTTTCCGCTAGGCTAACTTATATTGCCCTCTCCCGGGTTAAGAGTTTTGCGGGTCTTATGCTTAAAGAGCCCTTCGATCTTTAGCGTATCCGCAACCTCGTAGGAAGTGTATAGCGAATGCGCATCCTTAATAAGCAGCGTAGGCGTTTGTAGTATCTACCGGATCTACTAGCAATACCTCTTCCTTCCTCTCGTACATTTAGTAGTATTTCTAGTGCCTTAGCACTCTTGTCTAATAACTTTAAGACAGTACTTTAATGGCAACTTCTACCTTCGGACTACTAAGACGATAACGACGACCAATTCGAAACTCCTTTAGAATTGCCTCTGCTAGGTTAGGAATCTAACGACGACCCTATAGATATCGAAGACCCGGACTCGGAGGATGAGCCTAATAATAGTAAGCCGTAGGGTATAGAGATTACGAGCGAAGGCTTTCTATTGGCCTCTAGCTAGGTCTACAATTCTATAAAAATAGCGCTACGTCGCCGCGTACCTATTATCGAGGTCGATACGGATATAGATCGACTACTATTTATTAAAGAAGTTTAACACGTAGAGCGTAAAGCTTAGGAGGCACTACGTTAGCAAGTACGCGATAGACTATCTAGTACTCGACCTGCTCGCGCTATAACTATCTCTTCTACGACATTAACGTCTACTTCGGCGAGTTCGCTAATAGACCCTATTAAGCAAGCCGTACCTGCTAAAGCACCTGCTAAAGCACCTGCTAAAGCACCTGCTAAAGCACCTGTTAAAGCACCTATTAAAGCAAACACTAAAGCGCTCTTCTATCTACCTCCTCCGCCGGCCCTAGTCCGCCTTAACGATAGCGACTTAGAGCGCAGATTCCGATAGCAGGTTAAGGTTGAGCTAGTACTCCCTCTAACTTTCTAGTACTATAAACAAGAGCTAATAGACGCCGCACGTCTACTCTAGAAGGCATACTAGAAGCGCTTTGTTAATAACTTCGAAGGCGAGAGAGTATTCTAGGAGGTATTCCGCCGTATATTCCTTACCCTAGCCGAGGCCGCTGCTATACATTCTCGTCTTCTTTAGAACGCTAAGAAGCAAGAGTATCTGCCTAATAGTAGATGTCCTTGCCCTTAAATAGTAGGCCTTATCGACCTAGCCTTCGAATACTAGAACCTCGCTACTAGAAAGGGACGTCGTATATAGGTCGATCTAGGGAAGGCACGCATCTAGATAAAGTCTAATACTAGTATTAGGCTACGCGATCTGACTTTCTTTAACAAAGTAGCCTACCTTCTACGAGATCTTGCTTCTAAGTCTATATTAGATGAGATGCTAAAGTCTTAGTATAATAAGGTGCTAATAAGCGACCTCCTACGCCTATATAAAGAGTCTTTTATTCGAGGCAGGGATCTAATTACTCCCGAGGACGCTTATCCTTTCCTATTTCTCTCGGAAGCCGGCGAGACCAAAGTGGTTAATATGCTTAACATCGCTATTAAGGCTATTTACGAATTCGGATAGCCCTCTGCCGCAAATTCGATTGTTTTCGATTATTAGTAGTAGATAGAAGCTACTGTTGAAGGCATTAATCAGTATTGGCTTACTTCTAATAACCTGCTTAGTGCGCTTAGTTCTTTGAACTTCTTACCGGATGATAAGCTACGCCCTATAGTCTTTATTTACTTATCTAATAAGCACCTAGTAACGGCTCTCTTTGACCCCCGGACGGCTATAGTACAGACCTAGAACTCGTAGCTAGATGTGTATACCGATAGACGTAGGTTAATTAGCCCTGTCGGTATACGCATTGTCCTATGCTTCGCCCGACTGCTATCTCTCTTCCTAGTAGCAATAGCTGCTAGTTGGCTATCCGGTTATTAGTAGATATACTAAGAGATCGATCGGGTTACTCGATAGGCTAATATATATAATTGTAGTGCTCTTGCGGTTAACAACGCTATTGTTCTTATATAAGGTTAACTTCCTAAATAGGTCTTCGGCGATAAGACGTATCTTAGAGCCTACGCTCTTACTATTCAAATGCAGCACTTAGATACGTTATATAACGCTATAGATTAGAGCTTCTAACCGCAAGTGCTTTAGCCGAGCATCCCTATCGTCCCTTCTATTTAGCTAAATGAATTCGGTATAGCCTACTATTAGTAGATTCTCGATAAGATTAAAGAGCGGCGTCTTTAGGCGGAGCGCAGAGCGGATGCGGAGAGACAGATACGGGAGTATCTAGTAAAGGAGGCTATAGAGGCGGCCGGCTATAGGGCGTCGAGTTTAGAAGCTATAGTGCCTTTAGATCAATTCCTTTTCGAGAGAGGTAATAGCGATGCCGATATCGATATAGAAGATAAATAGCAAAGCGTACGTAGATATACGAGATAAAGGCTTTACCTTTATCTAAATTAAGTCGATTGAGCGCATTTCTACGAAAAGCACGCTAGCAAAAGTAATTAACGCGATAACGACCGTAGCTTTTAATTGGCTAACTATAAGGCGAAAGCTTCGCTCGTACTTAGTAGGCACGCGCAGCCGCCTATAAGCACATATTTCGCTACTAATCGCGCCTATAACGACAATACTAGTGCGACCGCTACTCTAAGCTATCCTTCGTTCTCGCCGACCTCGACTCCTTATATACGTTACTTACGTAGGCCTTTAACACCTCGAAACGGTCCGGATCGTACGTTAATCTATACTCTAGCACATTAAATAGCTATTCTCGAATCTCGATTATATTATATAGTATACGATCCGGCCTAAACGGCGGCACTAGTTTAGATAAGACAGGTAGTATAGCGATAAGAACAACAGTAACAATAATATAATAATAAGAAGGTGCTATTTGCGCCTTTGTAGAAAGAGCTAGATCTATATATAAGAAAGAGCTATAGAGATAAGGTTAGAACTAGAAGTATAACCGAGAAGGTTATTACGGTACTAGAAGAGGAAAAGCACCGTCAAATACTAGGCAAACTATACTGAGTTAATAGATAACGCCCTCCGGAAGTAAACCACTGTTTACAACAGTGGTACGCTAAATTTCCTGACATGCAAGACAACCTTGTACGTGAACAGACAGCCCTATCCGCTGTTTGTCGTACAACGTGTATAGGGAGGTGTTATATCCGCTCGTACGAGTGTCTCGGCCGCACAGTGCTGTTTCTGAAGTAGATCTGCCTTCGCGGAGCTGATTATGAGGTGGCTACCAAGTACAAAAGCCAACGGCATCCGGATCCTCAGTGAGCCTTGTCCATCGCAAGAGCTGGACTTCGAGTCTGGATAGCTGCGTATTGAAGCCCAGCTCAAGAGAAGCCGGGGCCGAGTCCACGGTCAATAAAATCGACAATTGCCTACTGAACTGCAGATGGCCCAATCATTCGCCATATTCCGTGAGATCATGACCTGAGTTCCTTTGCAGGGTGAGGGTAAAGACAAGGCCGCCAGCTCTGTCAACAGTCGACACGCCCGAGGCTCTATCATCACCTAGATCGCAGGAGTGATGCAGCCGTAGGTACTAGACCAGATAACGTGACATTGCGTTGTCATCCTCTTGCTGTGGAACTGCACGCTCGGTTGTGGAAACGCAGCGCACACGTCTAGGGTGTGAGCCATGTTTGACACTCTGGTAACGTCGCGTGCCTGATTGCGCAACAAGACAGAACTGAAGGGTGGTGTTCTAAAATCCGATTGCTTGGGCGACAATGATGGTTCGTGCCATATTGCGGTATAACTTGATATTGCTGATCGTCGTCGACGTTGATGTCTGAAGCCCACATGCAAGTTGTTCACTCGGTGAGCGGCCTCGGTCCGATCGATCCCGAGACAGCGAAAGTGCTGCTTCCACCAATCTGAGCATGCAAATGATGTGTATTTAGCCATAAGCAAGCAACTCAGGAACAAGCACTTCCCCAGGAACATGTCCGTCCTCACGAATTGCTCCACAATCCACATGCCCAGCCCAAAGAGCCCCTGTTACTGTTGCCCCTTCAACGGCTATTCTATACGAGAGAGGAGAAGTCGCAGATCTCCAATTGTCCGTGCCGGCACATCTATATTGCCGATGCATCTCGGCATGCGGTCCTGTGCTCTCACACACACATAAGTTGAACGGACCTGGTCGTGCAACACGGGGGCTGCGTGACATTGCACACGACGGTTCGCTATGCGTGCGTATCAGCTTCTGTCGGCAGCTTGCCTGGCAAGTCTCACAGCATGCAGCTCGCTCCGCGGTGTCTCTGAACACTCTGCCACAGGGGCCAGCACCCAATATCAAGGCTACATGTTTGCATATTTTACGGGAAATACACTTGAGGGCGAGAAGATATACTTCGCGGCCAGCAATGGCAACAATGCTTTAGACTGGAGCGAGCTGAACGGTGGTCAGCCTGTCCTTGCATCGACCAAGGGCACAAAAGGCCTGAGAGACCCGTTCATCATCCGTTCACCTGATGGAGGAACCTTCTATCTCCTCGCTACGGATCTATCGATTGGCTCTGGCACATCATGGGGAGAGTCTGTCCGCACGGGTAGTCGATATCTCGAAGGTACTGACTTGCGTTTTGCACAAAAGAATTATGACACTGACAAGACCCTCAAGTATGGGAAAGCCACGATCTTGTAAATTGGTCCGAGCAGCGACATGTACTTGTGTCTCCCGAGACTGCTGGCAATACGTGGGCTCCTGAAGCATACTACGACACCGACCTTTCTAAATATGTGGTGTACTGGGCGAGCTCTTTATATAACGAGTCAGACACCAACCATACAGGGACCACTTATCACCGAATGCTATATGCAACCACACAGGATTTCGTGACTTTCAGCGAACCACAGATCTGGCAGGATGCTGGTACTTCTCGAATTGACGCAACAGTGCTCAAGTCTGGCGACACATACTACCGTTTCACTAAGGACGAAGGCGCTGCGACGGGATGTACTGACATTATCCAAGAGAAGTCCACCGACTTGCTCGCGCAACTGAGCGGCTGGCAAATGGTAGCTTCCTGCATTGGCAAGAATGCAGGCACAAAAGCCATTGAGGGACCTACGGCTTTCCGAGCTAATGCTGGGGATGTGAATGGCGACAAGTTCTATCTTTTCGTCGATGAATATGGCGACCGTGGCTACATCCCTCTCGAGACTGCAGACATAGCCAAGCCTAGCTGGAAAGTTTCAGCTTCTTATAAGCTGCCTACAAGCCCACGTCACGGCACTGTCCTGCCTGTCACCGCCACCGAGCTCCAGCGCTTGACTTCCCATACTCTGAAGAAGCGAGAAGATGCTTTGATTCCGGGTCTCTACGCTGACCCAAACATGGCCATCTTCAACTGTGAGTACTATATCTACCCGACCACGGACGGCTTCGCTGGATGGGGAGGTCAACAATTCTTTGTCTGGAAATCTTCCAACCTTGTGGACTGGCAGAGGTCAAAGGAACCAATCCTCACGCTCAACGGCACCGCTGGCAATGTTCCGTGGGCTACTGGTAATGCATGGGCGCCTACAATCATCGAGAGACACGGCAAATACTACTTTTACTTTTCCGGTCAGAACCCGAAGTACGACCGTAAGACGATAGGTGTTGCGATCGCAGATTCTCCTGACGGTCCATTCACTGCTCAACCTGAAGCCATGATTCTGAATAACGAAGCAGTCACCTCCGGCCAAGCAATCGATTCTGCCACATTTTTCGATCCAAAGACCAGAAAGTATTACCTCTATTGGGGCAATGGAAATGCCGTCATGGCCGAGCTTGCCGATGACATGATCTCGCTCAAAAAAGACACTCTTCAAAACAATACAGGTCTGACGGACTTTCGAGAGGGTAGCTTCGTTGTCTACCGCGAGCCTTATTACCATTTTACGTACTCAATCGATGATACCGGCAGTGCGAACTATAGCGTAGGCTACGCTACTGGTCCATCGGCAACAGGACCTTGGACGTATCGCGGAGTTATCTTGCAGAAGGACCCATCGCAGGGCATCCTCGCTACGGGTCACAATTCCATTGTTCAGGTCCCAGGCACGGATGACTGGTATATCGCTTACCATCGTTTCCACATTCCAGATGGGAATGGCACGCACCGCGAGACAACAATTGACAGGCTGTATTTCGACGCAGATGGATTGATCAAGACTGTGAAGCCAACGCTGAACGGTCCAGGTCCGGAAACCATTCACATTTGCGGTGATTATCACTGACAGAGGCCAATAAATACGAATTCGTAGCCCTTCATTCCTTCTTTTTCATGACCTTCTCACTTTCCCTCGGAAACCTCAACCAACATATCTCCTTGCATCCCGCAACATCATCTGCCAAAAACGGACCATGAATCATCCCAGGTGGTCTACAACAGCATGGTACCTCACCGAACCACTGCTTCGAAGTCTTATCAAACATTCGCCTAGAAATTATGTACACTTCCTCCCGGCATTCGTGAGTACAGTACTGATCGCCCCATCCGCTTCCTGCTGCATGCATGTGCGAGGAGTATAGTCTTGTCCTCGGTGTCCAGGTCGTGGTACAATGCTTGGGTAACCGAGCCTGTCGATTCGGGTTCGATGAAAGTTGAGGTATGTGTAAACTCAAGCTCTGGTTTGGAAATTTTGTTCGGTTGTGATATGGTTTTCAACACAACACGTTGCGAAGTATGGGAGTTGCGAAGTATGGGAGTTGCTTTGATGATCTATGAGTTGCGAAGTATGGGAGTTGCTTTGATGCTCTATGCTGATCATCATTAGTCGGCGATTCCCGCAAGGAGGAATCCTTGATCGCTTCATTTGCCTCAAGGGAACACGAGTGCTCATATGGAGCTGCGTTTCGGCCTTGCAGCCTTTAGCCCTCTCGTTTGACCAAAAGAGTTGTCCTTGTATCAAGGAAGAGTGACAAAGTCTGTTTCCATCGTCGGTCCAGCCACAAACTACTCAAGATGTCTTCGTATACGTGTATGTGGCGTAAACTGTAACATATCCTGTGCCAGAAATGATGCGAGGACAATTGGCGGCCGATATCATAGTGGAGCTTACGACGCTGCTATGAATAGACGGTGTGATAGAGGTTTCCAGACCTGCCATGGCCGTTGGATTGCTCATCTGAGAAGTGTTGGTGGACTCGCTCAAGCTTGCGCTTGAGGTTGATGGGTTGAGCGAAAGATTATCTGTTATATATCCGAGTGCTGTGCTTTCTGCGCACAAGGTGATGTTTGTGGGTCTTTTTGTGAGAGTCGCCAGGCTTGTGTCCGAAAGAGAATCATCGCCTTCAGTAGTGAGGGATCATGGAGCGGGCGTCATCGGGCGAGATGAGAGCAATAATCCAATACTTGGAGGTGTCGTAGGCAAAACTGAATTGGAAGATCGGAGGTCACTAGAACTTGGAAGTACTGCTAGGCTCGTTGAAGTCGGAGCTGTGAATACCGACTGTGTTGATGAAGAATTTGGCTCTGTGGAAGGCAGCTCGCTGACCAAGATTGCACGTACGGCACCCAGGAGAGGGTAAATGCGAGTGACACCAATAAAGATCCTCGTGGTATCGCAAGCTGCTCCACAAGCGGCAAAGTTGCCAGCCTCCCGGTCTGCCAAAACATCACTAGGCGAGACCTGGTCGTCTGAAATTGTACTGCCGAAATAGCCACCTCTACAGGTAATAGCGTAAGTCTGTCCACCGGACTAAGTACAGGTCTGTCCTGATATTCTACACGAGGTTTCGAAGACCATCGGACAAGATGACACCGGTGTAGTTGTGGTGATATCAACTAGGAATTCTAAGCGCCTGAGTCTGATGGAGTGATGTAGAAGGCCCGAGAATCGTTGTATCGGATTTGGTAGAAGCAAGCCCAGATGTGGATTCAGAGCCAATTGTCTTAGAGAGGCGCTGATAGATACAGTAGACGACTCAACCTCTGAGCTTGTCGAGGGTGAATCTACATCTGTCGTATACAGGTCGGACGAACTGCTCTTCAATGATTGAGACGCACTAGGGACGCTCGCAGTGTTCTCTATTATAGCACTTATAGCGGAGGAATTGTTGTGGTTCAGTCAGGTGATATGCTAGTTAGCTGATACTATTAGCTAACCTGTACCAAGAGGAAGGACATACAATAGGTATATTAACTGCAGTTTCTGTAGCAGGCTCCTGATTCTTCTTTGTATAGTTATATAGTTGTTAATCCGATAATTAGTTGCATCCTTAGTACGATTTACAATAGGTTATAAGCCCGGCGTATACGCTCACCTATCCAGTTCAACTATAAAAGAACTGTTTCTAGAGTCTACTAAATAGAGCTAGCTATCTAGACCTATTAGGTACCTAGTTAAGAGCTCTAGTTCGGACTAAAACCTAGCAAGTGTCCCTTATAAGCCCTGCCTAGCACTATACTAAAAGGCAGCTAGGAACGATAGATACTAATCAGACAAAGACAGCAAAGGAGAATCAAGTTCTTAGGAAGGGGATCAACTTCTAAGACTAGAAGCTTATATTCTAGGCGGCCCTTCTAGAAAAGGACCTAGTTGGTATAGTATTCTATAGACTTAACTAGGCTAATGAAATAAAACTACCTCTAAAAAGCATATTTATAGGGGACTCAGCCGATTAGTAGTATAGAGATATGTTTAGGGACTAGAAGAAGAAAGACATCTAAGCCCTAGGCATACTTATTACTAGACTCGACCCTGCCCTTAGACTAGACTTCGGTAATACACCTAAGTTAGCTAAGGATACATACGACCATATTAAGGCTCTATACAAGCCTATTGTAACCGTAGATATATTTAATACTATTAAACTCATTAGGCATATTAGGATGCCCCTTACTAATCCGAATACCTAGCAGTACTACGAATCTTTCTAGTAGTAGTTCAATAGATTCTAAACATCGACAGAACAATTTGCTAGCTCAGTTATAACAATAGAAGCGCCTGTAAAGTTATTAGACATTAAGATGCCTAATATACTTGTTAGGATGCTGTTTATTTAGGGCCTTTCTAGTTACGAATAGCTCAGATCCTAGAAGTATAATAACAAGCCTAAAGCTAAGGACTCCTCCCTTAAAGCAATAATAACGTCCCTAAGGAGAGAAAAGCCTCCTAGACAGTCATCTAGCGGCTTAAAGCTTGTTAGAGGGGCTATTAGCAATAATGACGACTAGTGCACTTAGTGCAAGTATAAGCATACTAACGCTAAGTGCTACAAGCAATACCCTAATATAGTACTACCTAGTTAGGGAAAGAAAGACAAGAGCAAAGACAAAGACAAAGACAAAGGCAAGAAGGGTAAAGGCAAAGGAAAGGGCAAATCTGGTAGTGCTATTAACAATAACAAAGATAAATCAGACTCCTCCTCTAACTCGGAAGATAAGGGAGACTATTAGCTAGACGGCCTTAGTAGGGGCCTAATTAGGGGAGCTATTGCAAAGCCGGGACTAGCTATAGCAAGCTCTAAGAACCTAATAGCTAACACAAAAGTTTGGGATATAGGTACATTACTACACATTATAGGGAATAAGAGCTAGTTTAGCGATCTCAAGCACCTAACTAAGCCTATTCAGTTCTCCTAAGCAGTAGGAAAATTAAGTGTATTACGATTAGGAACTGTTAATATCTTCCTAACCTATAAAGGAAAGAAAACCCTAATTACTCTAATAGACGTCCTCTACTCCCCGAACTTAGATTATAACCTAATTTTAGTAGAGCGTCTTTAGAAGAAATGTAGCATTCACTTAAATAGACCTTTAGGCACTTTAATGCTTAAAGGCAAGCTAATTAGAAAGGTTAAGGAAGTATAAGGAGTACTTGCCCTTAAAGATACTAGAGTTAAAATGCTAGGCTTAGCTTCAAAACTAAACTTAGAATCGAGTTAGAAAGGGTAGCTATTAGCCCTAGCTATCGCTAGACTACGAGCGGACACATTAAGATAGCATTAGAGACTTGGCTACGTCGGCAACAAGATCCTAATAGCTACTAAGGAAGCCATTCTAGGCCTAGAAGAAGTTAATATATCTAAACTCGAGCACTATAAGACCTACAAGCTCTCGAGAGCTTAAAGAGTTGTATTAAGAGAATACAGAACCAGACTAGAAAAAGCCCTTAACGAAGTCTATATTAACCTTGTTAGCGTACAACTATTTAATCTGTTTGGAAACAGGTATATTATAATCCTAACTAATGCTAAAACTAGGCTTAGGTAGGGTCTATTACTTCGAAATAAAGACAAGGTAACAAGTAGTAACAAGCTAACTAACTAGATAACTAGAATTAAGAGGTAATACAACAAAATCCCTAAGATTATCTTTAGTAATAGCGGGGGAGAGTTTACTAACAACGATCTAGTATATTTTATAGAGGAAGTTGGCATTAGATAGGATGTGTCTACACTATATATACCGGAGCAGAATAGCATTACAGAGTCGTTAAACAAGACGATTCTGCTTAAGGCAAGAGCAATAATAATTAACTCTAGCCTACTAATATACTGCTAGTACTTTATAGTAATGTATTCGATTTACCTAACTAATAGACTAGTAAACTTAAGAACTAAGGAAGTTCTACTTAAGGCTTTCGAATCAGACTTAAATATCGGCAGTACAGACATTGACCTGTCTAAGACGAGACGATTTAGCTATAAGGTATTCAAATACCTCGAATCCGGGGTTGAACGACTTAACTCCTAGAAATTTGTACTAAGAGCTTTCGTTTACTAGTTTATTAGATTCTAAGAAAATTCATTAATAAACTATCTACTTTAGAACCCGTACTAGAAGAATGGCGTATAGCAGTATAATATTAGATTCTCTCTATACGTTACCTTTAACGAGGACTTTGTCTATAAAGACAATTTCACTAAGCTTCTAAGTACCCTTTAAGCTTAGGGGGAGTATTTAAGACTAGCTGTCCCTTAGGAGACTATTTAGGTACTTGAAACCCAGTCTAACCTCTTATTTAAGTTAGGAATCCTAGCACTATTCCCTAGTAATAACCAAACACCTTAGTACTCTTTAGAACCTTAGGGGGAGCTATTTAGAGGTAGCATCCCTTAGCCTTAGTAGGCTTATAATTAGGAAGATTAGGAAGACTCCCTTATAGCTTAGGGGGAGCAAGGTACACTTAAGCAAGGAATACTACCTTAGCTAATACTTATAGCTGATAAGCTAACACTCTAAAATCACTAACTAGAACTACTAGTTGCCTAGTAGGAAGCTGCTCCTAAGAAAGATTAGCACACTTAAGAAACAGATACTGCTAAACTAGAAGACACCCTAATCACTCCCTTCTAAGTCCCTAAGACTACTAGCAAGAGAAAGAGGGCTCCTAACCTACCTTAACTAAACCCTCCTTAAGCCGAAGTACGACTTAGGTCTAGTAGGGCTGTAGCTAAGTACGACTATAGCAAGATCACTAAGATTGCTATAGCTGCTACTATAAAAGATGCTTAGAAGCTAGCTGACCTAATAACCCTAGCTAAAGCCCTAAAAAGGCCTAACTAGGATAAATAGAGAAAAGCCGTTATAAAAGAGATAAGGTCTCTTAAAAAGTCTAGTACAATCGAGTGGATTCTAGCCGAATCCCTACTAAAAGGTAGAACACCTCTAATAGGAAAATAGGTTTTCAAGATCAAATACCTGCTAGACGGCTCTATTAACAAATACAAGGCAAGATAGACAGCTAGAGGCTTTATATAGAAGCAAGGTCTTAACTATGTTAACACCTATGCTCCTATACTAAGAGCAGCTACTACTAGACTTGTCCTTAGGCTTTTAGTAAACAAAAACTAGAAGCGAAGATAGGTTAATATCGAGACTGCTTTCTTAAATCCCCCTCTAGATAAAGAGATTTTCATTAGGCCCCTAGAAGGCGCGCACCTGTTTAAGAAGCACCCTCTAAAGTAGATTATCCGTATTAGAAAAGGATTGTATAGCCTCAAGTAGGCTGCTAATCTCTAGTACTATAATGCTTTAGACACTCTTCGTTAACTTAGCCTAAGTAGGATAAAGAGTAACTATTGCCTATAGCAAGGTAATAGTATTCTTGTCCTCCTTTATATAGATAACTTCTAAATCTTTAGAACCTCTAAGGTAAAGATCGATGCTCTAATTGAAGGTCTTCGCAAGAAGTATACAATTAAGATTGTTACGTCTAACCTGTTTCTAGGCCTTTATCTAAAGGAAGACAAGGAGGGAAACCTTACTGTCTCCTAGATATACTATACTAAAGAGAAGCTTTAGAAGTATAGCTTAGACTAGTATAAGCTAATAAAGCATCTACTTAAGAAGCTTTACGAGCCTCTTATAACCCCCTATAACCGTTAGGACTACTAGCTATTTAATACTATAATTGGTGAAATATAGTTTCTAGCTAACTAGACTAGACTAGACATTAGCTACGCCGTTAACTACCTTGCTAGGTTCCTTTAGAATCCCGGACCTAAGCATGTTATAGCTGCTAAACATCTCTAGAGGTATATTGCTAGTATAGTTGATAAAGGACTTGTCTTTAGAAAGAAGAAAACTTTAGAATTTTAGGCATACTCTAACGTAGACTTTGCTAGTAACCCTTTATTATCAAGATTAATATTAGGCGCCCTTATGCTTCTTAATAATACTCCAATTATATAGAGATTATAGCTCTAGAAGGAAGTCGTACTCTCTAGTACTAAAGCAGAGTATATTGCTCTAACAGAAGTATATAGAGAAATCTGCTAGCTCCGAAATTTAATAACTAAGCTTCAACTACTTACTAGGGAAGAAGTTAACAGGATTTATGTCTAGATAGACAACTAGTTAGCCATTTCCCTTATTAAGGACTACACTAATTCTAAGAGGTTAAGGCACGTTTCCCTTAGGAACTACTACTATAGAGAACAGTATACCTAAAGAAAGATTAGTATCGAATTCGTTACTACTAACAAACAGCTAGCGGACTGTTTTACTAAGCCCAAATCTCTAAACAAAATTCTCTAATAATACAGCGTCTCTAGGACAAACTCCTAAGTTACTCCTTTAGAAAGAAAAATCTTATTTATAGGATTAGAAAACAAGCTTTATATACTTATTGAATTTTATTCTAATTTCTGGAAACAGCCTGGCTATACTATGCAGTCTAAGCTACAAAATTTCTTTTAATATGTGCTTGTAGGCGGCTCCGCGTACCTACAAAGTGCGAGCGAAGCTTCCGCCTTATATACCCTTGCAGGTCGCTAGTCGTTACAGGTCGCTAGTCGTTGTAGGTCGCTAGTCGTTGTAGGTCGCTAGTCGTTGTAGGTCGCTAGTCGTAGTCGCTATAGGTCGTAGGTCGCTAGTCGTTGCAGGTCGCTAGTCGTTATAGGTCGCTAGTCGTTGCAGGTCGCTAGTCGTGGTCGTTGCAGGTCGCTGGTCGTAGTCGTTGCAGGTCGCTAGTCGTAGTCGTTGCAGGTTTTGTTATAGTTAGCACGTAATTTTCCGGAGGCTCAGTTCTACCGTACCGTCCTAGCAGTGCTAGTACTAGTCTTTTTACGGGCGTAATACTAGCCTTTTAACGGACGGAATACTAGCCTTAGGCGCGTGCTACTAGTAGTAGTGTTGGCGCATTGTTATTGTCGCGCTTTAAAGGAAGTAACGTAAAAGGATATCGCGTAAAAGGTTCGGAGGCCGAGTTTGTCCGTCCTACTAGTTCGTGTAGAATATAGCCAATTAGAGCTTTAGCTTCTAAAATCCGGGGAGTTACGTAGTAATTTCTTAGGGGATTCGGCTACTATAGTACCCTTGTTATTATAAGGCGAGCTTCGCTCGCAATAACAATATTAAGACTAAGTAGGAAGAAATACCCTAGCCCTTAAGAGTTAGAAACTCTCGAATGCTATAAGGCTTTTACTAATATAGACTGCCTAGCCTATTTCAAAATCGAAAATATACATTATAGCTCTCTGTCTACTAGAAAAAAACCGAATCTCCCTAATTAGCTACCTATCTTAGTATTACTGTCTTCGTAATTAGAGAAACCCCTCTAAGGACTACTAGAATTACGAGTCGAGCTAGGACTAGTAGACAACCTAGAACCTAGACCGCGACTACGTCCCTAAGTAGCAGCCTAGGCATAAGCATTTGCCTGCTATAGTAGCAAATTTGCTACTGCCTAAGCGCCCTAAGGAGTACTCTAATCGATACTAGACGGGACTAGCACGTATAGACGACGCTAATTAGTACCTGCTCTACTCCCCGGATTGCGAGGCGGCAGAGGCGCTATAGGCGTCTAACGATTCGTATTAGAGCGTAGCCGAGAGACGTAACCTAACAAAAGAATTAGTGTTTTTGCTTTAAAAAAATGTATAAGACTAGATTTAACTTACTAGAGAACTCGCATTAACTATAATAATTTAGGCTAGTATAGTTAGTATAAGCGCCCTTTAGGAAAGCGATATCCTAACCGTTAATTCGATAACTTAGAGTTATATACTCTAAGTACGGACCCTTTAACTGCTTATAAGGACCGCACTAGCTATTACTAGTATATACGCGTCTAGTAGCAGCCGTATATACAAGCGCGGTAGGCAAGTAGTTAACATTCGATTTTAAGCCTAAATTGAATGCCTTAGCCGCCTTACGTAGACGCGGAGGCATACTTAGAAATAGCCGAGCATTATCCTAGCTTATAATAAAATGCCTAATATCAACGTTACGTAGCTAAGGCGGAGTCTACTCTAGACTAATATTAGTTAAGTACTAGATGATTCTCTAGAGAATCGCGACAGTTAACTAAACTTCCTTAAGGACTGCGCCTAGTTAGCAAATTGTTAGAAAAGGGGAAACTCTAATAGCAACACTTACTAGTCTCTATAAGCTAGAGCTTATTATAACGCGAAGGGTACCGATTCTTGTTTAGATTATTACTACCGCCGCCGCTGCTACTACTACCTATACTACTCGCTATACTCCCTAGGCTAGGGTAAAGAATTATCGCTATAATAAAGTCTCGACTAGCTATTAGACTTAAAAGGTCTTAGTAAGAATTTGAAATCTAGTAGAGGCTGCTAGTACTTAGGGGATTGCTAAAGAGTAGATTGTAAAAGTTTAAGTTATCTAGTCAAGTTTAAGTGTCTTTTATAGGCGCCTACTAACTCTGCAATTACGACTAAGGACATTACTCTAAAGCAAACTAATTAGCAAACAATGTAACATAAGCACGTATAAGTGGTATAGCAAGGCTGTATATAAAGCAGATATAGTCTAATATCTGAAGGCAGTTAGAAGATAAAGTGAAACTCTAAGTCTAGATTTGAAGTATCTAATCTGAATAGCATATTATCTCTACCTAAGGGGGAGTATTGTAGTTCAGTCAGGTAATATACTGGTTAGCTAATACTATTAGCTAACCTATACTAAGAGGAAGGATACACAATAGGTATATTAACTACAGTTTCTATAGCAGGCTCCTAATTCTTCTTTGTATAGTTATATAGTTGTCAATCCGATGATTAGTTGCATCCTTAGCACGATTCACAACAGGAATCCAACGGCAAGGCCGTCAAACGTTCGCCATACTGCCCATCGACGAGGTCGCCATAATCATGTCCAAGGAAGACGATATCGATCTGGAACTACTGGCGACTACCGCTGATGGAGAATCGTTGAATGAATATGCCACTGATGTCGAGTTGTCAGTCCCGAGAGGGCTTTCTCTAGACAAGAGAGTGCTGGTTGTCCCGGTTGCGGTTGATGAGCTTGTTCTTGACCCGCTCGATGAGGACAGCTGAAGCGGACATAATGCTGCTGAAGTCGACAGCCGACAAGGCATCGATAGGCCAGCTGTTGTCGAACGAGGCCCCCTTGTACGTTGCAATTCTGCGTTCCATCTCTCTGCCGGAACTCTATCTAAGGCAAGGTATCCATCGGCAGGTCGCACTCAGGCAGGTGCTGCGGCACTACTGCTGCCTTGGAGGGTAGCCGAGTCAGAATCCAGTGCCTGTCTGCCGTTCCTCCTGCCTGCCGTTCTGATCAGGCATTGCTTGTCTTACAGGCATTCAGGCCATTGGATCCTTCTTCCCCTTCCCAACCAGAGGCCTAGCAGGAACTAAGCGTATCTTAAGACTAAACCCCGGTAAATTCTTTTCCACGTGATAGCATTAAGTATACAAGTTCCGACTATTCTTCTACCTAGCTCGTAAATAGATTACACCTTCGTACCCTCGTCGCAAGCTCCTCGAATACTCCGGCTTATGCCTGCTTACTTCGCTTTGCTTAGATAAGCCGTCTTCGAAGGTATATATATATTCAATATTAGCCCTCGCCTTCTCTAGCGTTTCTAATTCCCTTTATTCAATATTAGTACGCCGGCTACTAGCTACTGCCTAAAACGCCTACTACCTGAAACGCCTGGTGCCTGAAACGCCTGCTACTGCCAACGTCTAGCTACAATGCTGTCTAGAATTTTTGCTATACTACTCTGCCTCGTCGGGCTTACACTCGGAGAATATCCCTCGGAATGTACGAAAGTTTGCGATTGCTGTTCGGGGAATGTAAGGACCTCGTCTTTAAATAGAGCTGTATTCCGTCACTCTGCGAGCCCCTACTAATTGAACTGTTCTCAGGACCACGAAGAGGGACCTTTCATTGGACACTGTCACACGCATAATGGAGTGGCATATTGCCGACCATCAATCGGTGGTGGTCAGGACAATCTGGGTTGCTCAAACATATGCGACTGACGGAGTATTGCTGTATTCAATAAGTCGCGCTATGCGGATTCAGGCGTTCCATCTGATTCTCCTCGAGGTAGAACAGATGCTGAACGATAGCAACCTTCGTTTCCATTCTAGGTTTTGCTAAGAAGAGAACGACTCGGGACCTGTATTATAGAGATGCCCGTACGCTAAGGATTCGTCGCATACCGAGATCGTATGGTTTCAAGCCATAACCGACCTAGAATAAGAGGTTTGGGGTGTCCAAGCGTATAGCGCGACGTATTGAATATCACAACTCACGTTGCAGAGATTGTTACACAACTTCAGACACTTTCCTCCTGAAACACTTGATATACCCTACTTCGCCCGCTTGACGCTATTACGGCCTTAAACTCCACCACGATCCTTAGTTAGACAATCGAGTTCCTAAGCTCTCTCGTACGCTGACAATGCCTCTTCTAGGTCTTCACCAGCGTCGCGATCTGCCGCGTCGATGTGTCAAGTCAAGAACAGTTGGAAGTCAACAATCTCTAGCTAAAGCTCGTTGTAGTCAATCAACGATAGAGCAACATGCCACGCTGAGCGCAAGTGCGTTCGACATACACTCAACAAAGCCTTATCTCTCAGGACACCAAGACCACTCGCACTTCACGGCGTATACGAAGAGTGTAGTCTGGCAACGACTTGATTGTAGAAAGCACACTATATAACGAGACCACCGACAGATGCTGGTCCTCAGCTCCTGACTAGATATCTCAAATCGCGACGCATTGCTATACTAATATCGAGAGTGCATTGCACACGAAAATGCTGCCATAGTCCGATATGGCAAAGGCGACTTCGGTACTTCATGAGAAAGGCCGATCATGGAACAGCAAGGCTGATATCCTGGCAGTGTCGGATCAGCCTCACCGTGCTCTGATATGTTACAAAAGCTTTTCAGCTATACTACCGAACTCCACATGCCAGTGGTTCAGCCTCATAGCTGTATGACCGTTGCGGAGGCTGTGTTCGACATTGCTACCAGCAAAGCTACAGGTCGGTCGTGCAAGGAATCGCGAAACCGCCTAGAGAGGCAGAGCAACCATCCAATTCCTCGTATCGTGACATCAACGTTCAACGTGACCCGGACCAGATCGAGTCCATCTTTATGCAGAGGACGTCGCCATAACAGCGCACCTCCACACGATGAGTGCCAGCTGAGTCGAAACCTTGCAGGAAGGAGGAGGAGCTGGACTTGAGTAGCAGAAATCCTGCTCGGCGCTACTTCGAATTATGGACGAGGAGAGCCAGCGCGAACATATAAGAGCATAGATTCTATCAGCAATATCCCATTCTTACCAACATCGTCCAACGACGCCGTCACAGCCACTCAGCAACCACAAAACTCACCACAGTCGATCAAACACTCCAACAGCCATGCATTTCAGCACCACCCTCATTACTGCCATTCTGGCCTCCTTCGTCGCCGGCCTCGAGACATCCAACGGTCCCTTGACCGCAGAAGCAGATGCCGCGAAACTAGTACAATGCGTTGACGAGCTGCACGATAGCCGTAAGCACTTCGCCCGATTGATCGATCCCTACTCGCTCACTAGACTTTTCGCGCAGCACGATGGGAAGGCGGCGGTTACGAATGTGGCAATCACCGCTTCTACCTCAAGGGCAACGGACATTGGGAGAGCCCCAAGGACTGCATCGGCGACAAATGCGCTTACTTTCTTTTGTCCGCTGCTAGCAAAGGCGCTAAATGGGGCAAGTGTCACCAGAAGAAGCTTTCTGCTGAGTGCTGGGTTGGGTGGGAGTAGATGGCGGCAGTGGTAGTTCTAAGTCGGCGTATTTGCCGGTTGGTTTTGGGAGGATCTTGCTGGGCTTGCAATACATTCGCTCGGTTTTGGCGCGGTTCAATGGAGAATGGAGTCGTTTGAATTGCTTTGCTTATTTGCGCACAGGGGTCCAGTCTTCGTCTCCCTACCGTCGCGTGTTCCTCTATTTCTCAATCCATTGCCTAGCTCCATATCACCACTCTCTTTCACCACATCCTCAACTCTCAAAGGTCATAGTAAATTTCATGCAGCTTCTTCCAATCCATCCGCAGCATCGTCTCATGGCCCATCTTGGAGTCTACCTTCGCGCTCAGAAATTCCGAAAATCTGCCCTCAATTTCCCAACGCATCAAAGCTAGTTTCGAGTCTAGAATCGCTAGAAGCTGGGTCTCCTTCAGTGTCAAGGTATCGCCGTGATACATGAATCCAATCCGTTCCTAGTAACACCACACCCAAGTCTCTTTCGCACCTTCCTCCACGAACGCCTTAGGCCCTCTCGCCGGCTTAAAAAAGCTCCATTTCTCTTCACAACTCAATCCAATTTCTCCTGCCATTTACCAAAGCCTTCAATGCGTCTCGAGGAGAGCTTGCGATCAGCAATTTAGCAAGCTTTTCAGCAAGCTCTCCACGCTTTCCATTGAGCGTCACCGCCTTCCCATTCACTTCCCCGATATAATATCCCATTCTCAAGCAGTCATCTCGCAATGCTATGCTGCTTGAATCCTTGAGACCTTGCATAAGCAGGTCGTACCTCCATCGAAGGTTAGACTCGAGGGCGAATCCTTCCATGTACTCGAATGGGTCCGGGTAAGAGAGTGTCTCGATCATGAAGCTGTGGTCGACAGGAAGACTCCTTAGCCATCTGATAGTGGCGGAGGCATTGTTCCAGCTGCGATCGGTGGGAATATCTATCCACTACCTAGGAACATCGGAAGTCTCGTCGAAGCCATCGATAACAAAGGTGTTGGTCGAGTAATAGCGCTCCGCTGCAACGCGTCTGCTTGCGCGGTTAGTTTGGAGTTGCTTGGGAGGCCGATATGCAGTAGTGATGTCGACGGTCTGCTCAGCTGGGACGGTGACGACGTAGAACTCGAAGACGATATCTGCGAGCTCTTGTGGGAGTCGCTGTATCCTTTCCTCGACAGACATGGTGGCAACTATAGTGTTCACGATCTTGTAAGACCACATGTTCAGAGTATGAGGTTGTGTTGCTGTTAGGAACGCGCGTTTCGGAACGTCCGTGCTCGAGTCTGTCACGTGCTTACTGTGCTTTGCCGGAAGGTTGAGACTGCCAAGAACCCGGGTTTGTAACCCTCGTAGATCTTCGAGATTAGACTTCTTTATACCTTTAAGTACGATAATGCCTATACAAGGTCTTACCGCTATTAAATCTAGCCTCTTACGATATCTTATTATACGTTACTACCGCTAGAGCTCGCTATTCTCGTCGCTATATCGATAGCGACTAATCTATAGCGCCTATATCTTAAATACTACGCTATAGCGGAGGTACGCGCGTCTCGATCGCGTACGGTAACTTCGAAGGACCTACTAGCGTATAAGGAAGCCGAGCGGCGGCGCGAGGCGAAGTCGCTTATAAAAGATAAAAAGAAGGTAGTTAGTAGAAAGTAGAAGAAGACGGCGTAGTAGTAGAAGTTTAATAATATACCGGCGTTTAAGGCCGCGGCGTAGAAGGATTATTAGGTTAACGATACCGCGACTACTATAGAAGTTAATATTACTAGCGAAGTTAAGGTCGGCGAGTTAACGCGTTTAGCTAATATCTCGCCTATAAGAGGTATCTAGGCGCGGCGCCTAGTAAAGAGTTAGTAGGTAAATAAGGAAGATATATCTACGCTATCTTATAACCCTCGTAAGGACCTAGAATATAAGCAAACCTAGCGCCTTCTTACTAGCAATAATAAGTTAGCTTTCGAGAACTGTAACCGCACTAGCGCTAGTACTTAGTATGCCGAAGATGCGTACTATTAGGCTAACGAAGAAGCGTAGAAGAAGCAGCTCTATATTAGTAACTATATATTAATCGTATCCGCGTTTAAAGTGCCGAAGAGTAACTAGTTTAAGTAGAGTTAGAAGAAAGGTAAGGTAACGATATTCTTACTATTACTCGCACCTATCTAGCGGCTATATCCGCTTAGCTCGAGTTACGAGTATACTAATTTCTTCTATAGCGGGAGATTATAATAAGGCTCTCGACTACGCCGTAGAGTTAATAAACGATACTAGAGACAAGATTAAGATTAATATTAAGTTTAAGACTACTACTAAGGACGCTAGATCTTTAGCTATTCTTAAATTTAGTAAACTAAAGCTAAACGATTAGCAGAATGTCGCTAGTATTGCCTTTATTGCTAAAGAGCGGAAGGAGGGCAATTATACGACTAAGCTACTTACTAACTATATATGTACCCTCCCTAGCTACGAGAACTATAGCGCTTACTGCTGTAGACCTAAAGGCCTTCTAGACATCCCTCGCAATTATTACTGGTTCTATAGCGAGGTAATAAAGCTATAGTCTTACGCACTTACTATAAAGCAAGAAGGAGCTACTCTTAAGCAACCGCCGTATAGTATCTTCGCTAAGATATAGTAGTATAAAGAGAAGATATAATCTCGTAAACTAAACAGTCTACTTGCCGCTATAAAGGAGCCCTTCTAGTTATAGACTCTAGTAAGGGTACGCTCTACGCTAGCAGTTTATCTACCGCCGCCGCTAGCTATAGACTATACTAATCTAATCTAGACTATATTTAATCTAGTTAATTAGAAGCTAGGCGTTGTAACTGTAGCTTAGGTCTAAGAAGCTTAGCCTATATAACAAGAGTCTCCTATTCTAAGGTATATTACTAAGGCACTTAATATACTACCGAGAAGTCTACTAAGACAGTTCTTTTAATAGGCAGCGATATAGTACGAATAGAAGGATACTAAGGATAAGGAATAGCTCTTAAAGATAGAAGCGTACTTTATAACTAAACGCTATAACTATAATTAGTTATATTAACTTCCTATACGAGAGTAGAAGGAGCTTAGCTTCTATAAGGGTAACTTAGGTGCGTTGCGTAACTGTTTAAAGCGCTTTTAGAAGGAAAAGCTAGCTTAGAGAGATTAATATAATAACGATATTTATAACGGAGCAACGGCCGATCTCGTTAGTTTAGATTAGTTAGGCGTTTATATATAGATTGAGAATTTAAGAGCTTACTATTCGCTCCGTTACGTGTGTCTCTATTATCGTCGTTGCTTCGAGAGTGCTTTCCGGGGGTATTCTCGGAGTCTCTCGGAGGTAAAAGCGGAGGAGATATATAAAGCTTGGTGGTGCGTGCTAGTACCTTATTAATTTTGTTGTGCTAATACTACGCTAGTTGTGTATGTAAAATTCGTAGCGGAGCTTCGGATATATATTATCTTGCTAACCTACAAATACTAGAGTATATTATTAATGTTATATTAGTTAGATCTAAAGCGACTAGAAATTGCTAGTAAGCTAGCTTTCCTCCGACTTAATCTCGGCTTTAGCTTTAGATTTAAAGCCTTGTATATTATATCTGGTATATTTGAACAACCCTATTATATCTATCTTTCTAATATAATTAAGAGCCTATATAAGGAAGTCTTTAAAGCATTCGAAGTCTGCTATAAGATCTTTATTCTTCCCAAGCTATTTCTTAAGTAGTACGAAGGTCTTGTTACGGATCTGATTAGTTAGAGTCCTTACATAATCTTAGAGCGACGCTAAGACTAGTAGGCTAAGCTGTCGCTCTATCTTACTAGGAGCGATAGGAGCGGTCGAGAGCGACAGCGTCGCTTACGTCGCTTACGACTATAGACAAGATATCTCCTTTGTATTTAGGAACGCCGGAATGCCCTTATAGCTCGAGGCGTTCAACTTATGTTACCTACTTACTAATTAGAATTACCTTTGTACTAATTATTCTGTCTCTGCCTCCCGCTTGTATTAGCCTCTCTAAAGAAGCCTCGGCTTGCACGTAATAAGAAGTCACTTAACGATCTATCGCGAGTAACCGTAACACTTTAAACGCCCTTAGGATAAGTGCCTTATTACAAGTCGGAAGGGGAACTCCCGCCTCTAGCGAGATAGGTAGTACTCGACGTACTACCTCTAGTACTAGCAATATACTCGGAACCTATACCGGAAACGATTCTCTTAAGATCGGAAAGCTAGACTTTTATTACGGCGACCGAGACAAGTTCGATACCTAGGTTAGCTAGATAGATATATATTTCATATTTAACTAGGTTTAAGATAACTTAAAGCTAGTCTTCGCAACGACGTTTATACGAGGTAGGACTTAGTATTAGGTTAAACTATTTCTTAGGACCTATCTAGATAGCAACGGGACCGACAATTCGGATAGAATCTTCGCAAGCTACGAAAATCTTAAGCGTGCGAAAAAGAAGGTCTTTAGATCTTCTAACGAAGTTGCTACCGCAGTTAAGGTTATCTAACATTTAACTTAGAAGGGGTTATATACCGATTACGCCGCTAAATTTTAGGAATACGCCTAACTTACGGATTAGGACGACGAAGCTCTTATAATAATATATCGGCGAGGTCTTAAGGATAACGTTAAAGACGAGCTTATACGCGACGGTAGAAAAATGGATAATATAGGAATATTAGTTAAGATTACGATCGATCTCGACGATAAGCTCTACGAACGAGCTTTAGAACGACGTTACGATTCTAAGACTTCTAGAAAAGCTAGTTATACTCCTAGATACGATAATAGACGAAACTATAGTACCTACGATAAACTAAAGGGGAACAACTACTATAGTACGTAACTAATAGAGCTAGACGCTACCTAGAAGGGTCGAGCAATTAAAGGAAGAAAAGGCAAGAGTTCGCCTAAGAAAGTAGGAAGATTAACTTACTATACGTATAGCAAGGAAGGCTATATAGTACGGAACTACCGCGGTAAGAATATAGTACGACGCGAACAGTTTAATATAATACAACGAAAGGACTTAGGTAGAGAAGGCTACCGAATAGTAGTAGAGCTATACTCTATTAATAACGCGCCGAGGACCTACGTAGAGGTCGTAAAGAAAGAGCTACGACAAATCTGTATAATAGTACGACGATAAGAACCTATATATAGAACCCTTTACTAGAGATTCTGTTACGACGACTAATGCTAAATTTATTATTCTACTAAAGTAGAAGTAGGATTCTTCCCTTAAATTAGGCGACTCGTACGAGAAGATACGAAATCCTAGTTAGAAGAAGAAACGATTAATAAATCTTGCTTAGATACCGACGATAAAGAAAACCGAGATCCGGAAGCTTTATTCCCTCCCGAAGAGGAGTTAGGAGCTATCCTAGAAGTACCGGAGTCCCCTTAGTAAGAGGAGGAATAGTAAGAAGATTTAGAAGGAAGTCTAGATACCGAGGAAGAAACTACGAATAAAGAAAGTAAAGACGAATTCGGGATTAACGACGATACGATCCTTACGTTTACAATAGATATACCTATAGTAGCGCGAATAATCGCCTTATATCTAGTACGCAAATACGAGGAAATGTTTCTAAAGGTTAACGGACAACGGAAGGTCGATCCTATCCAATTTAATTATTTCTAGATAAGCTTACGGGCAAAATTCTAGAATTACCCCCGGATACCTATAGACTATACGTACTATAACTTTATTACGGAGCGAGTACCGATAGGAAGTATAATTACGCCCTACGGATACGTCCTACCCGACGAAAGGACGATTATTACTTAAGATATACGTTAGACGGTCTAGCGATTAAATTAGCAATACCGAAAGGCTATAGTAGCGTAGGGACGGGATATATATAACGATACCCTCGAGGAAAAATTATATACCGAAGAAGCACGAACGGTAGGACTACGGATCCGTAACTAGTTAGAATAACGTTAGGCTACTAATTAGTCGGGAAACGGACTAACTCTCTAGATTAGAGCGTTCTAAGAGAGTTCCTTAATACCGAAAGCGCTTAAGCATTAATAGTAGTCTTCCGTACGAAAGTTATCGTTAACGGGTACCCGACGAGTATATTAATAGATTCCGGAGCGAGCGGGAACTTTACCTCCGAATTATTCGTTAAAAGCCGAGGGATCGTAACCCGAAGCAGAAGAGAAGGAGCGTATAAACTTATAGTAGTAGATAGGTTACCGCTACCTAGTATAGAACGAGAAACGATACCGTTACTACTAGCTATCTAATAGTACTACGAGGAGATTGTCTTAGATGTTACTAATATAGCTAGTTATAATATTGTATTAGGTATACCTTAGTTAAGAAAGTATAACCTAGTCGTAGACTAGAGAAAAGGAGTACTTATATTTAAGGAATACGACTATATAATCGGTATTTAACCTATATAGCGGTAGCGTTCGTAGGTAGATAAGATTAATAAACGTAGGGCGACTCGTAAGACGTTTACGTCGATAGGAATTACGGAGAACCGTATTCAACCTAGATCGATACTACCGTTAGGTTAGGAGGGTTATAATAATAATTACGGGAAGGATAGAAGTTATACGCTATCGAAGAATAAAACTAGAATCTCGGACCTAGATATTCCTAAAGAGTATAGTAAGTAGAAGCGACTCTTTAAAGAGGAGAGAGGCAAGGCAGCCTTACCTAAATACTAACTATAGGATTATAAGATACACTTATAGCCTAGGAAAGAGCCTCTATAGGGACCCTTATACGCAATATCTAAGAAAGAGCTTAAAACCCTAGACAAGTAGCTAAAAGAGAAATTAGAAAAAGGCTAGATACGGAAGTCGATATCCTCGGTAGCCTTACTAGTAATGTTCGTTCCGAAAGCCGGATTAGACGAAGGACGGCTAGTAGTCGATTTTAGACGACTTAACGATATTATAATTAAGAATCGGTACCTACTACCGAACATCGAAGAAATATAAGACCGATTAACTAGATTAGACTAGTATACGAAGATTGACCTACGCGATGCGTTTTACGCAATACGTATAGTAGCTAGATACGAATAGATAATAGCATTCCGAATAAGATATAGGCTTTACGAATTCTTAGTTATACCTATAGGACTTACAAATGCCCTAGCGTTATATTAAGACCTTATAAACGAAGTCCTCCGAGACCTTCTAGACGTATACGTTATCGTATATATAGACGATATCTTAGTCTATACTAAGGGAGCTCTCGCGGACTATATACGAATAGTGCAGGACGTCTTTAAACGATTTACTTAAGTAGGATTTAAGACTGCACCTAAGAAATGCGAATTCTATAAGAAGGAAGTTAAATTCCTAGGATTTATTATTAGTACTATAGGAATTAGGATCGATCTAGAAAAAACCAAGTTAATATAGGAATAGCTAACGCCTATATGCGTTAAAGACGTGCAATTATTCCTAGGATTAGCTAACTATAATAGACAATTCATCGAGGGCTACTCTAAGATAGCGGTACCCCTTACGGAGCTTATAAAGAAAGATAAGAAATAGAACTAGAGTACGAAGGAAGACGAAGCGTTTAGGCAGCTAAAGAAGCAATGCGTTTCTACGCTAACGCTACGATTATTCGATAGGAGTAAGGCGGTCTAGATAGAAACAGACGCGTCGGATAGGGCTATAGGAGTATGCCTTATATAGGAGTATAACGGGAAGCGATACCCGGTAGCCTATTACTCGAGAAAGATATTACCCGCGGAACAGAACTACGATATCTATAATAAGGAGCTACTTATAATAGTTGTATTACTATAATACTAGCGAGTATACGCGGAAGGAGTACTAAGTCTTACGATTCTTTCTAATTATAAGAATCTAACTTACTTTACTACGACTAAAGTACTAACCTAAAGATAGGCCCGCTAGTCGGAGCTACTAGGACAGTATAAGTTCGAAATCCGCTATACCTTAGGACGCGAGAACGGACGAGCCGACGCACTAAGCCGCCGTAGCGACTATATAGAGGGTTACGAACTAGTATAGTAGCAGATATTAAAAGCAAACTAAGACGGAAGCCTTAGTACTAATACAAAAGAATTCAACTATATTATACGAGTCCTTTAGGATATAGAAGAACAATTTCTAATCGAATATAGGAAATACTAAGTACCTAAGGAACGAGTTACGGAATATATACGACAATACTACGACGGACTAGAAAATAGACACCCTAGAGTTTTAAAAATAATAGAACTAGTTAAGCGAAGCTTCGGATTCCTATATATACGATAACGAGTTCTAGAATATATTAAGAAATGCCTATAATATTAGCTTAACAAGGCTAATAGATACGCTAGATATAGATATATCCAATTTAGGACGCTACTAGATAAGCTATAGGACGAAGTTATAATAGACTTTATTACGAAACTACCGAAGTCTAAGGATCCGGTTATAGGACATAGCTACGATATAATACTTATTATAGTCGATAGGCTTACGAAATATATACACTTTATTCCTACTAACGAAGTAAGTACGGTAGAGCAACTCGGATACCTCGTACTAGATAGACTTATACGATACTACGGATTTCTAAAGACCTATATTACGGATAGAGATAAGCTCTTTATATTAAACTACTAGAAGACGCTTACAGCGATACTTAGAATTAAGTATAAGCTATTAACGGTATACTATCTATAGATAGACGGCTAAACGGAAGTTAAGAATTAGGCCTTAGAGGTATACTTACGGTACTACGTCAATTACGTATAAAACAATTAGGCATCGCTATTGCCTATAGTACAACTTATACTAAACAACTAACAATCTAAGACTACGAAAGAGACACTATTCTTCGCTAATTTTAGGAAATATCCGTAGCTATTCGGGGAATAGTATTTATAGTATCTATACGCGGATAAAGCGATAGTCGCTTTAGAAGACTTAAAGCAGGTATATAAAGAATTATAAAGGGCAATTACCGAGTCTTAAGAAAAGATTACGGGACTATATAATGCTAAACGAAAAATAGTACCTTAGCTAAAAAAGGGGGATAAGGTCTACCTCTTAATAAAGAATCTAAAAACCCGGAGATCGACTAAGAAACTAGACTACGTTAAAGTCGGGCCATTTTTGATTAATAAGCCTAAAGGACTAGTTAATTACCGACTTAAACTACCGGACGACGCGAAAATCTACCTAGTATTCTATATCTCTATACTAGAACCTATAGACGCCGAAACACCGTATTAAGAAACATTTTGCTTCTAACCTAAGGAAGAAAATAAGTTTAAAGTCGAGGAAATCCTAGATTAGTAAGGTTAGAAATACCTTATTAAATAGAAAGGATACCTATATTTAGAAAATACCTAGGAACTAAAAGAAAACCTATAGAACTGTTAGTAGATAATTAAAAAATATCAAAACCGGATAAAAAAGAAATAACTAGTATAGGAATTAAACCTACGACCTCTTAGACCCTATCGATTATAGCGCCTTAGAGTTCTTAACGACCTAGGGTAGTATAGCTCGAGGAGCGGGGACTCTAATAGCGTACTTAGTAACTATATCTTTTATAGCTAAGAATTATACTACTAGACTAACTAGCTAGAAGATAAAATAGATAGGAAATATTAAAAATATATACCTTTAGGATACTAGACTCTCGGTACTCCTACTAGGGATTTTAGAGATAGGCTAGGATATCCTATCTAGACGACTCTAGTTATAAGGCGATATCTATAATCGGCTATCTAGGGGAAACGGCTCGTTAGTAGGTAACGAGAATATTATCGGCTCTATAGGCGAAGAGCCTAGCTCTCTTTCGAGCTCCTCCGCCTATTAAATAGAGGCTTCTTCTACCTTAAGAGCTTATATCTCCCGATCCTCCTTTATATATAGCGACTTATATAAGCGACGGACCTTTACGTAATACTTAAAAAGCTTCCGCGTAAAGAGGTCCTTCTCCTCTTTAGCCGCTTCGAGATCTTTAGCTATCTTTAGGCGCGCTTTCTAGATTTTTTTATACTTTATACGAGTAACTTATATATTATAGGACTAGCCGTATAGGGCGTACTCGGAGTAGCGACCGGAACGAAGATCGACTTTATAGGGTTTACCGGCCTATTTATAATAAAAGTAGCGGATCGGTATTTCGAGGTAGTCGGCGAGGATATTATTTACGATATTTTCCTTACGCTAGCGAGAAGATAAATCCTTAGATAACTTTAGTATAATAAAGAAGTTAGAATTAAAAAGTCTCGGAATAAGGGACTATTCCGCTTAAGGAGGGGGATAGTATTACGGATCTAATTAGTTAGAGTCCTTATATAATCTTAGAGCGACGCTAAGACTAGTAGACTAAACTATCGCTCTATCTTACTAGAAGCGATAGGAGCGGTCGAGAGCGATAGCGTCGCTTACGTCGCTTACGACTATAGATAAGATATCTCCTTTATATTTAGGAACGCCGGAATACCCTTATAGCTCGAGGCGTTTAACTTATATTACCTACTTACTAATTGGAATTACCTTTATACTAATTATTCTATCTCTGCCTCCCGCTTATATTAGCCTCTCTAAAGAAGCCTCGGCTTATACGTAATAAGAAGTTACTTAACGATCTGTCGCGAGTAACCGTAACAGGTCTATTCTATAGGATTTAAGTTAGGAGAGTATAGCGGTAAATACTCGAGGGTATATCTAGCTAACAAGATTATAGACTTAACCTTCTTACTATAGTAGATAGAAGCGTTGTCTATTACAATAATTATATTCTTACTAAGAAGAGGTAGCACTTTATTCTCTAGCTAGTCGTTAAATGTAACTTAATTAACCGCGCCTTAGATATAGAGCGTATAGGGTAGATATCTATAGATTATTGTTACGGTTACTCGCGATAGATCGTTAAGTGACTTCTTATTACGTATAAGCCGAGGCTTCTTTAGAGAGGCTAATATAAGCGGGAGGTAGAGATAGAATAATTAGTATAAAGGTAATTCTAATTAGTAAGTAGGTAATATAAGTTGAACGCCTTAAGCTATAAGGGTATTCCGGCGTTCCTAAATATAAAGGAGATATCTTATCTATAGTCGTAAGCGACGTAAGCGACGCTATCGCTCTCGACCGCTCCTATCGCTCCTAGTAAGATAGAGCGATAGCTTAGCCTACTAGTCTTAGCGTCGCTCTAAGATTATATAAGGACTCTAACTAATTAGATCCGTAATACTATCCCCCTCCTTAAGCGGAATAGTCCCTTATTCCGAGACTTTCTAATTCTAACTTCTTTATTATACTAAAGTTATTTAAGGATTTGTCTTCTCGCTAGCGTAAGGAAAATATCGTAAATAATATCCTCGCCGACTACCTCGAAATACCGATCCGCTACTTTTATTACGAATAGGCCGGTAAACCCTATAAAGTCGATCTTCGTTCCGGTCGCTACTCTAAGTACGCCCTATACGGCTAGTCCTATAATATATAAGTTACTTATATAGAGTATAAAAAAATCCGGAAGGCGCGCCTAAAGATAGCTAAAGATCTCGAAGCGGCTAAAGAGGAGGAGGACCTCTTTACGCGGAAGCTTTTTAAGTATCGCGTAAAGGTCCGTCGCTTATATAAGTCGCTACGTATAAAGGAGGATCGGGAGATATAAGCTTTTAAGGTAGAAGAAGCCTCTATTTAATAGGCGGAGGAGCTTAAAAGAGAGCTAGGCTCTTCGCCTATAGAGCCGATAATATTCTCGTTACTTACTAACGAGCCGTTTCCCCTAGATAGCCGATTATAGATATCGCCTTATAACTAGAGTCGTCTAGATAGGATATCCTAGCCTATCTCTAAAATCCCTAGTAGGAGTACCGAGAGTCTAGTATCCTAAAAGTATATATTTTTAATGTTTCCTATCTATTTTATCTTCTAGCTAGTTAGTTTAGTAGTATAATTCTTAGCTATAAAAGACATAGTTGCTAGGTACGCTATTAGAATCCCCGCTCCTCGAGCTATACTGCCTTAGGTCGTTAAGAACTCTAAGGCGCTATAATCGATAGGGTCTAAGAGGTCGTAGGTTTAATTCCTATACTAATTATTTCTTTTTTGTCCGGTTTTAATATTTTTTAATTATCTACTAATAGTTCTATAGGTTTTCTTTTAGTTCTTAGGTGTTTTCTAAATATAGGTATCCTTTCTATTTAATAAGGTATTTCTAACCTTGCTAATCTAGGATTTCCTCGACTTTAAACTTATTTTCTTCCTTAGGTTAGAAGTAAAATGTTTCTTAATACGGTGTTTCGGCGTCTATAGGTTCTAGTATAGAGATATAGAATACTAGGTAGATTTTCGCGTCGTCCGGTAGTTTGAGTCGGTAATTAACTAGTCCTTTAGGCTTATTAATTAAAAATAGCCCGACTTTAACGTAGTCTAGTTTTTTAGTCGATCTCCGGGTTTTTAGATTCTTTATTAGGAGGTAGACCTTATCCCCCTTTTTTAGCTAAAGTACTATTTTTCGTTTAGTATTATATAGTCCCGTAATCTTTTCTTAAGACTCGGTAATTACCCTTTGCAATTCTTTATATACCTACTTTAAGTCTTCTAAAGCGACTATCGCTTTATCCGTATATAGATACTATAAATACTGTTCCCCGAACAGCTACGGATATTTCCTAAAATTAGCGAAGAATAGTGTCTCTTTCGTAGTCTTAGATTATTAGTTGTTTAGTGCAAGTTATACTATAGGCAATAGCGATGCCTAATTGTTTTATACGTAATTAACGTAGTACCGTAAGTATACCTCTAAGGCCTAATTCTTAACTTCCGTTTAGCCGTCTATCTATAGATAGTATACCGTTAATAGCTTGTACTTAATTCTAAGTATCGCTATAAGCGTCTTCTAGTAGTTTAATATAAAGAGCTTGTCTCTATCCGTAATATAGGTCTTTAGAAATCCGTAGTATCGTACAAGTCTATCTAGTACGAGGTATCCGAGTTACTCTACCGTACTTGCTTCGTTAGTAGGAATGAAGTGTATATATTTCGTAAGCCTATCGACTATAATAAGTATTATGTCGTAGCTATATCCTATAACCGGATCCTTAGACTTCGGTAGTTTCGTAATAAAGTTTATTATAACTTCGTCCTATAGCTTATCTAGTAGCGTCCTAAATTAGATATGTCTATATCTAGCGTGTCTATTAGCCTTATTACGCTAATATTATAGGCATTTCTTAATATATTCTAGAACTCGTTGTCGTATATATAGGAATCCGAAGCTTCGCTTAACTAGTTCTATTGTTTTTGAAACTCTAGGGTATCTATTTTCTAGTCCGTCGTAGTATTGTCGTATATACTCTATAACTCGTTCCTTAGGTACTTAGTATTTCCTATATTCGATTGGAAATTGTTCTTCTATATTCTAAAGGACTCGTATAATATAGTTAAATTCTTTTGTATTAGTACTAAGGCTTCCGTCTTAGTTTGCTTTTAATATCTGCTACTATACTAGTTCGTAACCCTCTATATAGTCGCTACGGCGGCTTAGTGCGTCGGCTCGTCCGTTCTCGCGTCCTAGGGTATAGCGGATTTCGAACTTATACTATCCTAGTAGCTCCGACTAGCGGGCCTATCTTCGGGTTAGTACTTTAGTCGTAGTAAAGTAAGTTAGATTCTTATAATTAGAAAGAATCGTAAGACTTAGTACTCCTTCCGCGTATACTCGCTAGTATTATAGTAATATAACTATTGTAAGTAGCTCCTTATTATAGATATCGTAGTTCTATTCCGTAGGTAACATCTTTCTCGAGTAATAGGCTATCGGGTATCGCTTCCCGTTATACTCCTATATAAGGTATACTCCTATAGCCCTATCCGACGCGTCTATTTCTATCTAGACCGCCTTACTCCTATCGAATAATCGTAGCGTTAGCGTAGAAACGTATTACTTCTTTAGCTACCTAAACGCTTCGTCTTCCTTCGTACTCTAGTTCTATTTCTTATCTTTCTTTATAAGCTCCGTAAGGGGTGCCGCTATCTTAGAGTAGCCCTCGATGAATTTTCTATTATAGTTAGCTAATCCTAGGAATAATTGTACGTCTTTAACGTATATAGGCGTTAGCTATTCCTATATTAACTTAGTTTTTTCTAGATCGATCCTAATTCCTATAGTACTAATAATAAATCCTAGGAATTTAACTTCCTTCTTATAGAATTCGCATTTCTTAGGTATAGTCTTAAATCCTACTTAAGTAAATCGTTCAAAGACGTCCTACA